TGCAAATTCCAGAAATTATGTAGCGTTTTCTTTCCTGGTACATCTGTCGCAAAATGTTCCGTGTGTACATATATATGCATGTACGTATGTAGGTACGAGTGTGCCTTTGTATGTGTGTGTGTGTGTGCATACATGTATGTATTCGTATCATATTACGTTGTGTCATGTAGGCATGCATTTATGTATGCATGCGTGTGTCTATGTGTATGCGCACACACACACATTATATTTATTGTAATAAATTGTCAGTAATCATACAGTCTGCGTGTGATTTTGACAAATTGGAGATTAAGCGCCTAAATTCAGTGTGGATCTATGTTCTTTTCGAAGGGAATGGCAAATAGCAGAGTCTCGATAACGTGTAAAGATGTGTTTGTGACTCGTCTGCCCCCGTACGGACGTCGACTCGGCATGTTGCCAAGCACGTTGGCTCTACTATGGTGACCAGTCACTTGCTGCATTGTTAAATGTGTCAATGATAAGGAAATTGTAACTTGTAGGGGAACACAGTGCTAGTTCTATATTTTTTATAGACCAAGCGGCAATTGGTGGGTGATGTGGTCAACACCACGCCGGTCGCCTTTACTTCCCAGGACTGCACCTGGTACCCACTCAAGGCTAGGTCGATCTTGGAGTCAATGTCATTTCTCAAAAAAATGTCCGGCTCCGTCAGGACGCGAATCCACGACCTTCCTATCCGCAGGCGGGCGTCTAGTTGCCAACGCCACATCGACTCCAGAATTGTAAAGGTTAGTTGCGTATCCTTTACAGGACGTTGCAGAACCAACCCCAACAGCCTCTGGCTGTTGTGTTGTTTTTCTAGGCATATTTACGTCCAGTAGTTTGCACTGGATACCTGGACGGTCGGCTTTTCTGATACCTCTGTCGAAACCAACGCGAGGCGCATGGACCGCAGCTGGGATCGAACCCGGCATCCCGGTATTACGAAGCGTTCGGATCGACTTAGCCACAGAGCCGACCCAGAATTGTAACTTGGGCAAAAAATATTACTTAAAGTTTTCGTATGTGTCAAAAAAAAGTGAAGATATCACAGCTGTGTGCTGTAAACTAGAAATATAAAATAAAGAAGAATTAACTAATACACAGTTGTTGTTTCGCTTGAGCAATGCATGATGACTCTTAAGTTGAAACAATCTAAAGTTATCATTGTTTTTTAAACTTCTACATTGGCAGCAATCAGTTGAGCACATCCATATGTTAGCTAAAGAAATCCGGAAGAAGCCTTTAGGACCTCTGACCCCAGGCTACAACTTTACGCGCAGTCTTCGCAGCATGCTGGATGACCTGCTTCCCGAAAATGCTCACGAAACAGCGAAAGGGAAGTTATTTGTGTCTGTTACCAACACAGACACAAAGAAAAACGAATTGATTTCTGATTTTTCATCTCGAAATGAGCTAATTGAAGTAAGTATAAATAGCGGCTTCTAACTATTGGTTAACTTAACTGTTGTTGATATACCTTTCTGCCGACTATTATTACTGACTTAAAGTTCTGCAAACGAGCTCATACCTCAGAAAAGCGGCAGGCAGGAAACACCTTCTGTAGATAGTCCGAGAGAGCGCAAATAAAGTGTCACAGACTGAAAAAAGTGAAGATCTCGGATGGCGCAGCAAGAAGACACAGTTAGAAATATGTGCATATCTGTACAGATGATTCTGTGCTGGGAAATATCAAGAAAAGATATAAACCCGAACGAAAAGTATATTAGCAAGCTTCACAATGTAACAAATACAAACAAACTATGCTGGGAAATAAAAGGAGAGCAAGGGGGTTCATAGCAAAGGATAATGGAGGACAGCACGTTATATGATCCCACGACATATAGTTGGAGAATAGAGATGGGGACCGTCATCTTAGCCATCCGCTGGTTGAGGAAGGTGGAAACAAGTGTGCAGTGTGGCAGGCACCCTGCTTCAGAGATCCTAGGTGGTTAACTACATTTAGACAATTTTCTTTTCTGAGATATGTGAGTGTCATGGGAAATAATATGCTGATAGATTGCCTGATTCTGTAGGATTTGGTTGTGAATAAACGTTATCAAGGCCCTCAAGGAGCCAATGAACAGTTTGAAGGCACAAATAGATCAACATAATCTGAATAGAATGTTGTAGCGGAGAGTGACCGTGGGATCTCGTCGACACTCAACATGCACTGGAACGTCAACGTATATACAGTTAGGCTGCAACATCTATCATCAGAACTGGAACTCTGCGCTGGCTCTGAAAATGGGGACAGAACGCTTATGGGAATGTCCCGAGTGCATTAGTGTCGGCTCTTTTCAAGCTGAGTGAATTAATTGTTTTTATCGGAGATAGTATTTAGTGGTTAGTAATTGTTTCTTTCTCCTCCCTAATACCTTCTCCCAAATGTTTGACCATTAAAAATAACAAATGACTTATGTATAATTCACAGGTTCTTGTTTCCAGTTGCTATGTACCGATCTATGCTGGAGTTAAGCCAGCCACAATTCGTGGAAAGGTAGGCATTTGTAAATACATTTGCACAAATCTCCATGTAAAAAGTAGTCAAATGGCAGATGGTAGAGACATCGGCATTTGAAAAACAAACACTATCATAATTAACAGTAGAAAGAAGCGGTCAGCCTCAGATATCGCAGTAAACAGAGAAATATTCGAACATGTAACAATTTTTCTCTCTTCTTCTCCTTTTTTTTTTCTTTTTCTTCTTCTTCTTCTTCTTCTTCTTCTTCTTCTTCTTCTTCTTCTTCTTCTTCTTCTTCTTCTTCTTCTTCTTCTTCTTCTTCTTCTTCTTCTTCTTCTTCTTCTTCTTCTTCTTATTCTTCTTCTTCTTCTTCTTCTTCTTCTTCTTCTTCTTCTTCTTCTTCTTCTTCTTCTTCTTCTTTCTCCTCATCCTCTTCTTCTTTTTCTTCTTCTTCTTCTTCCTCTTCTTCTTCTTCTTTCCTCTTCCTTTTCCTCCACTTTTTTTTTCCTTTTCTTCTTTTCTTCTTTTCTTTTCTTCTTTTCTTCTTCTTCTTCTTCTTCTTCTTCTTCTTCTTCTTCTTCTTCTTCTTCTTCTTCTTCTTCTTCTTCTTCTTCTTCTTCTTCTTCTTCTTCTTCTTTTTCATCATCATCTTCTTCTTCTTCATCTTCTTTTCTTCTTCCTCCTCTTCTTCTTCTTCTTCGTCTTCTTCTTTTTCTGCATCTGTTGTTTCTGCTGCTGCTACGGCATCATCATCATCATCTTCTTTTTTTTCTTCTTCTTCTTCTTCTTCTTCTTCTTCTTCTTCTTCTTCTTCTTCTTCTTCTTCTTCTTCTTCTTCTTCTTCTTCTTCTTCTTCTTCTTCTTCTTCTATTTCTTCTTCTTTTTCTCTTTCTCCATCTTCTTCTTCTTCTTCTTCTTCTTCTTCTTCTTCTTCTTCTTCTTCTTCTTCTTCTTCTTCTTCTTCCTTCTTCTTCTTTCTTCTTTCTTCTTCTGCTTCTTCTTCTTCTTCTTCTTCTTTCTCTTCTTCTTCTTCTTCTCATCTTTCTTCTTCTTTCTTCGTCTTCTTCTTCTTCTTCTTCTTCTATTTCTTCTCTTTTTCTCTTTCTCCATCTTCTTCTTCTTCTTTTCTTCTTCATGTTCTTCTTCTTCTTCTTCTTCTTTTTCTTTCTTCTTCTTCTTCGTCTTCTTCTTCTTCTTCTTCTTCTTCTTATTTCTTCTTCTTCTTCTTTTCTTCTTTTCTTCTTCTTCTTCTTCTTCTTCTTTCTTCTTTTTCTTCTTCTTCTTCTTCTCTTCTTCTTCTTCTTCTTCTTCTTCTTCATCTTCTTCTTCTTTTTCACCATCTTCTTTTTCTTCTTCTTCTTCTTCTTCTTCTTCTTCTTCTTCTTCTTCTTCTTCTTCTTCTTCTTCTTCTTCTTCTTCTTCTTCTTCTTCTTCTTCTTCTTTCTTCTTCTTCTTCTTCTTCTTCTTTCTTCTTCTTCTGCTTCTTTTATATTCATCACCTTCTTCTTTTTCTTCTTCGTCTTCTTCTTTTTCTTCCTTCTTCTTTTTCTGCATCTGTTGCTTCTGCTGCTGCTACTGCATCATCATCATCACCTTCTTCTTTCTTCTTCTTCTTCTTTTTCTTCTTCTTCTTCTTCTTCTTCTTCTTCTTCTTCTTCTTCTTCTTCTTCTTCTTCTTCTTCTTCTTCTTCTTCTTTCTTCTTCTTCTTCTTCTTCTTCTCCTCTTCTTCTTCTTCCTCTTCATCCTCTTCTTCTTCTTCTGTTTATAGCCCATAGTGGAACATATGCCATGAACTAAATCACGCCAAAGCGTTCCTTTTGCTAACGCATGCAGCTTTTCCCATGTCCTTCCTATCTTTTGTATTTGTGTGCGCAGAACTTGAGGCACCAGGTGTTGGTAGGATATTGACATAAGCAGATGATGTTTTTGCGTGTAGACATTGGATAGCATCGGATAGTGTTACAGGCAACTGTAGACAAAGTGACTGAATGGTGTGCAGAAATGAGTGCTGTTATCAATTTGGAAAAGGCCTCTGTTTTATGGTGCTCTATGGACAATAGAATTGTAAGAGCTGATATTCCAAGCCTCACAAATAATAACAGTATCATCAATAGAGAAAACAGACTGAGGTATATAGGTATCAATTTTGATAAACGGACTCAATGCTCTCAAGATAAGGGCAACAATGGACGTGGAACAAAAAATGCGGTTCACAATGTTCCAGCATGTGATCTTGTCGGTGATAGATTATGAACTTACGATATCAAAGAGTCAACAAAGATTATAGCAGCAATGGACATGGGTCAAAGAATGCTGTTCTGTTCTCACTGTACCAGCACTTAATGATCTCAGTGAGTGATTATGGACTGGGCTTGCTCACTGGAAGAGTCAGCTAGTGAAACTCGAGCGCATACAGAATAAAGCTATGCGGGTGATCCTGGAATGTGTGATCCTGGAATGTACAAGAGACACACCAATTGTGTTCATGCGATACATCCTTACATTGCCGACTATTTCAGATAGGCTAAACGTGCTGCAGGCTAAGTTATACCTCAGAGTAGCTGCAGATAAAGAGCACTCCTCTGTATGAAGCTTTGGATACAGTCAAGCATCAGAGGCTAAAAGGGGAAAATCATGAATGGCTCAAGCAGAAGATACAATGAGACAAGTATACATGCTGAAAAACATTGGGCGAGATGAGGAGTGGGTCAGAGAACCAGAGGAAAAGTCTGACCTATGTAGGGTCATGATCATATTAGACCAGAAGTGCAGAGAAGGGAAAGTAGGGGCTACTGAGGTGAGGTTCAAAAGTGGATTCACGACGATTCTCGCTCAGATAATCTGGTTATCTATACAGATGGTTCTGTATTGAGAGAGAAGAGAAGTGCCTGGGATTTCGTGGCAAAAGCCCGTGGAAAATCTTTAGTACGGAACAGTCTGGCATAAGATACCACGACATCTAGCATGAGAATGGAGATGGAGGCGGTCACTGCAGCTTACTGGTGGCTAGAGAATAAGATACAAACACATATTGTAATTGTTACGGACTCTAAAAGCATGCTGAAAAAGGTGAAGACAGGATTGCTTCGAGCAGAGTAGCAAGCTTCACTGGCAAGGTCACGGGTAGTGAACATACTTTGGATCTTTTCTCCAGGCTATGCCGGCGTGGTAGGGAATGAAAAGGCCGACAGATTTGCTAGATCTGTTCCGATCGAGAATATTACGGTTAACTTCGTGTCCCGAGGTACCATAGTACAAAAGTTTTGGAAAGACTGAGTGAATCGATAGTTACTGAAAGAAGCAAATAAGAGACATTAGTTGAAAAATAAAGTCTTTGCACTTTTTTAAAACCAATACCGGAGTGAAAAGTCGTAGGTTAGAGTGAATGCTTAAATCCCTAGGAGATTACGAGGAAAGACTAACTCAAAACTTTGGAGCAACAGTGATAGAACCAGATGAGCAAGAAAAGGTTATTAGACAGTCGCACAAATGTAAAAGCACCAGAAGCTGACAGAAGGGATCCAAGCATGAGGTGAAAGCAACATAATATGCCTTCAGTGAATATTTAATGCAGCATGGGTACAACAAACTGCCTCCATTAACTGGCAACAGGCAGTGGTTATACCATTGTGGAAGAGCAAAGAAAGCAAGCAAGAATGTAGCCAATACCAATGCATCTCTCTGAAGTAATGTTGGGGAAATGTATGCCAATACAAGGCTGAGACGAGTAATAGAACCACACCTGGCAGAAGAACAGATGCGATTTATGAAAAATAGAAGCTGCACGGATGCATTCATCCCACTTTTACAGTTAGTAGAAAAGAACAAGAAAGACAAATATTTTCGACAGTACTGCTTGATATGGCGTAAGCAAACATCACCTCGGAGTGTTCAAATCTGTAAATAAGTATTGTAGACTATTTACAGAAACATACAGCCGTCAGAATAGGAGTAGAGTAACTGTTAAATATACGTCATATTTCACAACCTGTGGTATTTCTGACAGATGCAAGAGCGGGGCTTCAAGTACTTCAATCTCGAAAGCTACCTGGTTAACGAACACCTCTCCAAACTAGGCAGCAATGTAACTCTGCAATGGATATCATCCCACTGTGGAGTTCCTGGAAATGAAAGAGCTGATGAACTAGCTACAGAAGGTGAAAATGAAGAACAACCTGACGTACCAGTCTCTTATCAACAACAACAACAAAAAAGAGAATGATAAAATCAATTAGAAAGCCACCAAAACCGGCACAAGATGATTGCCATTTTATTTCAGACTAGAGAAAGTTATAATTCTACGCACTCACTACCCAAAGTGATAAGAACCCTGCACAAGTCTGAAACTTGCTCGGACACTTTGACCTACTCATCGTGCACAAATTTATCAAGCCTGCACACATGTAAGATTGTGTCTTTTGCTTGCGCCACCATCCATGACCTTCCTCTTTTCAGTCTGTGACCCTTATATCTACCTAGGGTTTTATGCAAGAGGTGCTTCTTGTCTGCAACTGCTCTGAGACGTGACTTTGCTTGCAGAACTCTGAGCCTGTCTGCAATAGTAGGCAGTGCAAGAATACCGGGGAATCTCTTGTACATCCCAAAATTACCCACATTTCTATATTCTGTATGCGTTCGTTTCATCAGCTGACTTTTTGATAAGGTAAGCATTTCAAGTCCATAATCTATCACCGACAGCATCACATGCTGGAACATTAAGAACATAATTTTTTGTTTCATGTGATGGTATCAAGCACAGAGCACGTTCTCCGTAGCTCTTTTTATAATCATAGTGTAATCAATTTGGTTTCTATTTCTATCGCCGGGGCTTCTTTTTTCCATGTATAGTTTCCTAGGTGGATGTTGAAATAATTTAGAAGGAGCATTAATTTGAAACCCATTCCAACGGCAATATTACAAACCCATGAATAAAACATCAAGTGTGGCAAAACTGAACAAACATTTTGAATGAATTATGTACCATGGGTTGATTTAAAAAAAAAGTCTCTGTAGCATTCAGACATGCGTCAGTATA